TTCAGCTGGAATTCTAATACTAAACCAATAAAATTGTTAATCGCAATTTTAAGTGCTGATATGTGGGATAATGGGCACGGTGGTAAAGTAAAACATCGTCAGGCAAACTACCATTAACATTACAGCCTTAAAGTCCACTACTGAACATAGGCCTCCCCCATGGATTGGTAGGGTGGATGTTTGCCATAGTTGCCACGCTTTGCAGTCGGGTTGGCAGCTGCCGTTTCTTTATTTTAGTCATTATTAGGAAGACGCTGCTGCTAAACTCCTGATTTGTTTCCATCTGTAGCCTCTTAAAACATCTACGGGATCATATGGGGTTGTGGATATTCTTACACCGCCACTACACGGTAAAGACAACCTACATGTCTGAGATATTAAAAAATAGGCATTTTCCATCATTTTCTTGCATTAAATACTTAATAAAAATTTTAATTATAACCATATGATATGCAAAATACAATGTCTATAACGTATTGTACTCATATGAAACGTGTGTTTTGCCAACAACCTGGGATCAAAATAGGGTTGTTTTCAGTAATCGCACAAAATAAGACATTGTCACGAAAAACACGCACAAAGTCTTAGCTTGAGTCATCAAATACATATACGAGTATAATATGATTTTCTATGAAATATTGTTGAACGGAATATCTTTTCGAATTTAAGAGGAGTATTATAAAAAACGCGAAATTACAAGGTTTTCTCCTTGAAATTATATTCTTTCTGTTCGTTGCCTGAAATAACAATTACTTGGTAAAAATAGTTCGTTTTCTCTACTATAATAAGCTCAAGGCAAATTTTAGATTTCTTACTTATTTATTTGGTAATAACCATTTCCCCCGATGCATGTTTAGGCCAAAACTCTTAGAGACATGATTTGGGAGCTCTAATTTATAGATTCTATTGAATATCGCCCATCGAAAAAATTTATATGTCACACATATCCTATACTTTAATATTCATAAAACACATTTTCGTTATATGCCTTTCACGTAAGGGAAAAAAATCGACATAATTCAATTATCTACCGAAAAAGCTTCGATACAAGCCCCAATATCTTCAAAGTTCTACATCATTTTGACGTAAAATTTATACCAAAATAATCCTCAACATTTGCTTAAACTGTACTGTGATTTTTAATTTTTAAATCAGTACAATTATTTTTTAATTAACTAAATAAAAGTACCATATATTTCACTGCGCCGGCCCTCTGCGTGCGGTCTGCGTTCAATACAGCCGCGAGCGCTCGTCTGGGTCAGACCTGTAACAATTTATTTCGCGCGCTCCATCTTGTTTCGATATTATTGTAGTGTCCTTCGAAGGCCGTGGCTAGCGTTGCCAGGCGTTCGGATAAAGTCGGACACAGTCAGGCTTTTTGGTTGCGTGTTCGACCAAATTAGACCTTTTAAAGGAGACAATCGTTTTTGGACCAACTAGATATTTTAACGTAACTTAACTCATAAAAAGATACCAATTTACTATAGTAAATCGGCTAAATATTTTATCATAATCTAACCGGTATCATAATAAATAATACAATTAAGAATTAATGGCTACATATAAATCACCGCAGTCTCTTTATTCGTGAACTATTGGTGGATTCTCCAAAACTACTAAATATTTTTAGTAGTTCCGGAGAATCCACCAATATATTTTGAAGAACCTACAACTTTTGTATACTTTTTATTATTACTCGTAACACTGCACTATTATAACATAGAATATCGATAAAAACTATTAGACAGTCTCACATATAAGTTTGAGGTTATAATAAGATTGCCGTTTGGTTGTTAATTTCTCAGTATTCCCGTCAGATGCGGTAAAACTAATATCACTAGTGTAATCTAGAGATATGAGTAATAAATCGATATGTATCATTCATTCACATTCATCATGTTACTGTGTCATCAAGTTACGCCACAATAATAAAGAAGACTGATTTATTCAATTTTATTGTTATTTCATTTGAATTTGAGAATATTTTATGGTAAATAATAAAAAGCATTGCTTTACTTTAAAAAAAATCATGTTATACTAAGACTAAAAAATTAAGGGTGTCCGGCCTTTTTACCAAAATGTCCGGCTAAACTCATTGGTCTGTCCGGCTTTTCGGTCTTAAGACCTGGCAACCCTAGCCGTGGCGCTGAGCTATTTTGTGCTAGAGCTTCGTCAACTACGCCCGCAATTTTTAATCGTTGGAAATATTTACTTTAGTACAGTATACATATTTCAATTAGTATAAAGTTCGCACATTATTATTATACCAGATAGTTAACTCATTATATAACGTAAAAAATAAATATTCAATGATGAAAAAATGTCTGCATGCTTGCCATATGGACTGGCCCAGATAATGCAGTAAAAGTACTAAAAATCTACAAAGACGACAAATTTTGAACTTTGAGTATGTCAGCCAAATTACAAGCGTTTTATAAAAGTGTGTACTGCCTGAAATTATTGACTCGAGATAAGCTCGGTCAATGCCGTTGCGGCAAATACTTTCATTATAAAAAATATGGTTAATTGATTGTAAGTACTGATTAAAAAAATATTAGTTACAGTTGGTTATTTTATTTATTAAAACAAGTTGCAACCGTACTATTAATTTATTTATACCTCTTTGCTACCGTTAGTAGATATAATCGATTTTAACCAACATCGGTTAACAATCGATTACTGTGAAACAATTAAAATACTTACTTGTACTTATTTCAACACTAAGGTTCATTAATAATAAAAATATATCAAATAGATTATAATAAATTAATTAGATAACATAAAAATTACACACTAAAAATTTTCCATCTACTGAACTCCATCCTAAAAAAACTTGTATAATGGAAGATCAAGATCATTTATTCGCTATACTCAGAGTACCATAGTGCGAGCAATTGAGGAGATATAGCAAATGTAACGCCGAAATGTAAGAGGGCTCTTAATAACAATGGTGCATGGTGGTCAACAGACATTAAAAACATGTAATTATGTTTCGTATACGCAAGTGCATTCACGCACGCACAGAGCAAAAAAGTAGGTTTCGTTTTAAATAAGTCCGCTTTGGAAATGTGAAAAGTATGCACGATAGTAGTATATACGCTGAAATTAAAAGGAAAAATATCATAGCTAAGAAGGCTTAACAAATTAACAAGTAACAGTAGATCAGTGCATTTTATAGCACTTTCGTAGAAAATTACCTAAAACTAACTGCATCATAACTTGGAAATATTACCGTAAACTGTAAAAAATGAGCTTTTTTTTGAAGAAAACGACTTATGACTTACTGCTGTAGCTATATATTTGCGATGTAGATAGAGAAAATCGATCGCCAAGAGACCAATCACTTTTTTAGTTAGTAGTTATTATAGGCCTATAGTTTCATTCATACAACTCTTGGTTTACGCGGACGATACTCAGGATAGTTTAGGGCAGTGGTAGTTTACAGGAAAGTACTAACTAATAGATGGAGAAGGAACTATGATCATCTTGGTAAGGACTTGGCATGTGAATAATTTGGTGTAGATTGTATTATGGTCAAAATTTATGAGATTTTTAAACTTTGAAAATAAGTCCTTTAGTTACTATTATCCTATTTGGCAAACTTAGGTTGTTATAGCAGTCAAACCGCGAACTTACTCAATAAGCCCATAGTATCAAGAAGGCCCCTTCTAAGTTCACGTATTATGACGGGCAACTACGGAAGCCTACATTGCGCGTGTGCGTTTTTTTTGTTATAGTTACTGTACACTTTAATGTTACGTAAATATAATTATCACCTGCTACATTGTCAACACAAATATTATTAGTAAAGCGTAGTGATTATATATACTCTTTGATTATATTAGAATAAAATATTTGACATCATGTGACAAGTTGTAAGACTATTTTTATAAATATTTCATACCGTTATCATGGTCAAATAAACGTTATCCGCAATTTATGTGAAATCTGTCCAACCAAGTCTTTTTTTAACTAAATTTACAGTATGAATGATTTTTCAACGTTAGAAAAAACAATCGTGCGCGAATTATCATGTCGACTCTGTCTATGTAACGATGTTATAAAATTAAAACCGTTAAGTGCAGAAACCAAGCGTAAAATCAAGAGCCTCTTTAATATTGTGGTCCGTTTATTCAGATAAACAAGCTTTATTATTAATCATTATGGTATAACGGAATTACGAAAACATTGTGTACCGTATGCGTTATTAATAATGGCCTCTAACCGAATATATATGTTAATCTAAATTTCAGCCGCATTGGCAATAGCTTTAGCAGGCTCCATTTCTTAGTAGAAATCATTAGGTGTAAATAGCACTCTCCAGTCGTCTCGCTGCTCTCTTTCGGATAATAAAAGATAAGTGTGACAAACATGTACACAGTAACTGATGGTAAGAGGATGATGGCTCTTGGATCGGTATTCAAACACACTCGCTTTTAATAACAAACTCTAAAATACAAGTATATCCTAACACTTAATAAACTATATTACACCTACTACATTGTGCAGTTTAAACTCGAAATTGTCTCTGAATTCCCGCCCTTACACATCTAAAATTAAAGACTAACATGAAATGCCTCGTTAGCATAATAAAAATGGTTTCTGGTTCTCTACACTAGCTATAAGAAACAGCCATTACGCTTTTAGTACCAGTAAATTATTTAATTTTCGTTATTTACCATAAGAATCACAGCAGTGTTATGCTGGTATTTTACGCTGGTATTATTTGAAGGTTTGGTCCTGCGCCGATCGAGGCCGCTCATTCGTGTCATATTGAGTTGCAGCTCTACCAAGAAAAAATCTTAAAATTATTAAATAATGACTGTGAAAATGAGATATATTATGCATGATATAAAATGTTATTTTGTTCATTTTTTCAGATTCGAACAGATGATAACCTTCCCAAAGCAATATGTCACGATTGTCTGCAACAAGTTGGCGCATTACATCTCTACGCTGTAAAAGTGGAAAAAACACAAAAGTTCTTAGAGTTTCATAAAATGAAACGCGCAGCAGAACAACTCATTCATTCTCAGTTCATGCAAGAAAAGAAACTGCAACCGATAATAAATGAATTTTCATCGCAAAACGTTCAAGGCGATAGTCAAGAAGTAATTAATCATTCTATGTCTAAATCAAATACGGCTGAACGTCAAGGAAATTTGAATTCAGCAAATCCGAAAGAATCGAGAAATAAATCACGCTTGGAAATGAAATATATGGAAGCAATGCCGTTAGAGGAATTTGCAACAACCGAGCATTTGGACGCGTCCCTTCTCATGAATCCATGCACTCAAAATAATGAATCCTTTGTTTACAATTTAGATAACAAAGTGGATACAGAAAAAGAAAAAAAAATTTGTACACATAACACATGTGAGGTCATAGATCCTATAGTGTTAATTGATGGTAAGCCAGCAAAACAAGGCGCGGACTTAGATAAACAAATAACACTTTTCTACCAAATGGAATGTTGCATTTGTCACGGGAAAGGATTCGACTTTAAATCATTAATGAAACATTACAAAGAAAGACATGGTGTACCTGGTTATGTGACGTGCTGCGAAAAAAAGTTTCATTATTTCTATCCTAAGAAAATAATAGAACACATGGCGTATCATCTTCAACCAAACATATTTATGTAAGTTGTCGTTTTATTCGGCCCACAAATTTTACAGTATAAAATGGGATGTCCGTATGCATTAAAATTTAATTCTAAAATTTTATATATTGTAATTTAAAACTTATTCTTGTTATATGAAATAGGTACTCAGTTTTCTCAATAACTTTAACATTCAACCGAAAAAATTACATTGAAACTTATTTTTTTCTGTTTTCTAATTGGAGCTTCGAAAAATAATACAATGCTAGAATTTTTCAGAAACCTGATTTCTTATAACCCTTTATATTTTAAAAACCCACATGAGTTCGTTAGTTGGTTACGTCTCCAACTGACAAAGCCAATTTCGTGCAGTAATGTATTACGACTTTCGAGTGAGCTCTTCAAATACTGCGTCTAGAAATATTTATGATATACATTTAATAAAACATTTGTTCAACATTCTACGATAAATAATTTACTTGATCGCTTTCGTGGGGGTGATACGAATCTCGTAGATCAATCTCATTAGTCTCGTACATTGAAAATCCCGCACGAAACAAATGCTTGCATGGTCTACTAATAAATGTTTCAAGTTTCAAAGTGCAGCTAGTTAAAGAACTAAGTTCTATAAGATACATCTGTGAAATTCCGCAAATAAATTTATTATTATCAATCAACCGTTCATGGCGGTGTAAGAATATACACTACCACCATATCATCACGTGGGTGTCGTAAGAGGCGACAAAAGCACCTTCCTAATAACATCTCAAAATAAAAGCGGTCTAGGTGCGACCCGAAAGGTCCACACGATTAACTTCCCAGTGGAAAGAATAAAAAATATCATATGTTTTAATATTTTATAAAATTTTTCATACGGCACAAAAAACGACTTAACCGATTTTGTTCAAAATTTTATGAGGTCTAAGTTACATAATTATGTGTTAAATGAAATGGTCCCATGTCAATATCACTCTTTGTTCTCGAGATACACAAGGCGAAATTTGAATCCGAACACACATACATACGTACATGTACACACACGGACATCCTCTTAAAAACTATACTATTCGATTCTAAAGACTTTGAAACGTGGATATATGTTAAAATTTCCAATTTGCAAAATCGGACCCATTACAATAACTTCACACTGGGAAGTAATTAAAAAATTCATCCCACAAAAAACCTGGCTTGGGGGGCAGAACAGCAAAACCTTGATATATAATTTTTGTCTTTGACTTCTTATACGTAATCTTCAAAAGCCAATGCCGACACTATAAAATGCAATATAAATTAATTTGGCATCTACGTATGTTTGAAAATTTTTGTCTGGTTTGAACAAGCCACTGCATTGATTTGCCGTCATCGCTATAAGTAGCGATTAGCGTTCGCAATATCAACCACTTTCACCTTCGACATTACTCTACGACTTGATCGTGATCCTGATCATGTTAATAAAAGGCCAGAAGATTTAAGCCACTGAAAGCAAATAAAACAACATCATTCTTAGCTCCAAAACTGACCCAATGCAAATTGAGCTACGCGGGGCCTGGCTTACCAATTGTACTGCGACCTACTTTACTTGGAGTACCGTTACTGTCATACTATATACTGAATCAATATAATTTACATTGCACTTTTTTACACAGAACATCTTTGGCGAAGAGTGCAATGGTGTCATATAAAATAAAACGTAAGGGACGTTTAATGATGTGTGACAATTGAAACCAAAAAACCATCAGGAAATAAGATCAACTTTTGACTGTGCGTTTAGAGTCATAATAAAATATAAATAAACTTTTAAATAAAAAGAAGTTTCTACGAGTGACTTTTTTATAAATATTGTGCGCACTTAATTCCTTTAAAGTTATACTTCCATGTTTTCATCCATTTCATTCATTTTCTGAAACAACTCCTACGACACCCATAATCCATGATCCAAATTGGGTATTCATAGGTGATTCCAAACGGCGAATAAAGAACTACAACAAATAACAACCGCCGAGCTCAGTATGTAATACCAAAAAAAAAATTATTTTGTATTAGAAAAACAATACTAAAATGCAGCACGAATCAAACAAACAGCTGCGCAATAGGTAAATTACAGTTTTTTGACGACAGTGAACATTCTTTCAATGTGATCGATTTATCCAAAGACTGATGGGGGACGGGACTATGGCCCTGTCTAACTGTGGAGTATGTTTGACCTGGTAGCATATAAGTCTATGTGATGAGCTCATTTTATCTTGCTGGTCGTTGAACAAATACGAAATATTCGTATAAAACACACACGCGGATAGTAAAACACAAAATTCTTAATATTCTAACGACGGTACAAGTGAGTGTAGCAGTAGTCGAAAGATCTTTTTCTGCCCTGTACCGCGTAACTGCGTACGCGAATTTTTTAGTAGATTTTGTAACTAAATAAAAAAATGTTTTTATATGCACTCAATGGAAACTCTAGCATTAATTGCTTACTAAAAGTACGAATTTAAATTGCAGGTGTCAAAGCTGTCATCAAAACTTCCACTCCTCACAAGAGCTAACTGAACACGAAAGCAACGGTGGAAAATCCGAAGGCAAAATCACTTGTCCTCGTTGTTCAGAGCGGTATCCCACGTACCGCGAGCTAGGCCGACATATTATCACGCATCGAGCCGATAAATCACAGTGTGACTACTGTGGCAAAACGTATGTTGAATTGAAAAATGATATTAATCTCATATGTGGTAGAGCTACGTTGCAGCTATATTATAGTTGTAGCACGAATTAATCGGCTTGATAGGGACAGGACCACACTCTCGCAGAATACCTGCTGAGTGTAGAGAACTGGACGCCTTTTTTACTGGAAATGAGGCATTTCATCTATGTCCTCAGGGGTTACAACGCATCTGCATTTTGATTATTAATCGAGGATAAATGTAGATGTAAGAGCCGTGGTAGCTCAGATGATTAGCGCTCGATGTAAATTACATAGTACGCCACCGGCACCAATGAAATTGTTAAATGCATTTTTAAGTGCTGATTTACCACGTGCTCGGCGGTGAAGGAAAACATCGTGAGGAAACCTGCAAGTCAGAGAAATAAGAAAAAATATGTTACGAAGGCATGTGAAGTTCGCCATCACGCATTGGGGCAGCGCGGCGGACAATTCCTTGCCCTAAAACCGCAGAAATCGTAATAATAAAACAATAAAAGTCGCATAGACGCGTGACCTTGTCACCGCTATTATGTGTTGACGAACATAATTCACTATTTTGTGATTTAATTGCGCGGGGAACATCGTACGTGAATTTATATTATTATAATGGTGAACTGCAGCATAATAGTAAACAAAGTAGTAAAAACTCACGTGTAATTCAACTAATAAAGACATAAAATTTCACTCCTCCTCGTTGTTCAGAGCGGTATCCCACGTACCGCGAGCTAGGCCGACATATTATCTCGCATCGAGCCAATAAATCACAGTGTGACTACTACGACAAAACGTATGTTGAATTGAAAAATGATATTTAACTCATACGTGGTGGAGCTACGTTGCAGCTATATTATAGTTGTAGCACGAATTAATCGGCTCGACAGGGACAGGACCACACTCTCGCAGAATATCAGCTGAGTGTAGAGAACTGGACGCCTTTTTTACTGGAAATGAGGCGTTCCATCTTTGTCCTCAGGGGTTACAACGCATCTGCATTTTGATTATTAATCGAGGATAAATGTAGATGTAAGAGCCGTGGTAGCTCAGATGATTAGCACTCGCTGTAAATTTCATAGTACGCCACCGGCACCAATGAAATTGTTAAATGCATTTTTAAGTGCTGATTTACCACGTGCTCGGCGGTGAAGGAAAACATCGTGAGGAAACCTGCATGTCAGAGAAATAAGAAAAAAATATTTCGAAGGCATGTGAATTTCGCCAACACGCATTGGGGCAGCGCGGCGGACAATTCCTTGCCCTAAAACTACAGAAATCGTGATAATAAGACAATAGAAGTCGCATAGACGCGTGACCTTGTCGCCGTTATTATGTGTTGATGAACATAATTCACTATTTTGTGATTTAGTTGCGCGGGGAACGTCGTACGTGAATTTATATTATTATAATGGTGAACTGCAGCATAATAGTAAAAAAGTAGTAAAAACTCACGTATAATTCAGCTAATAAAGACATAAAATTTCATAGGTAAGTTGATGGTTAGTGGAAAAATTTATTTTTTTTAAATCATTTCGAACCCTTTTTTTGATCAATTCTATAATCTAATCAGCTCTTCTACTCAAAAAACGACGTCGATGAATGTTGTCGAAGGAAATCTCGAAAAAACTATTTTTTCAATATAACTTTAAAATTTCCGTGAAATATATATTTTTGTAATAGTTTTTTTTTAGGCTGAAAAACTGCGTCGATTGCCGTAAATCACATCAAAATAGGTTGAGTTTTTCGTGAAATATTCAATTTTGAAAAAAAATAGGTGGGATTCAGAGCGCTTTTACATTGCAATTAGCGGGAAGTTTTAGGTATGCCCTGTAAGGTCAACTATTTTTTTAGCAGATTTCCTGTTGCTTATACGTAAAAGATAAATGCAATATAGTTTTTAAACGTCTAAAGTTTATGTCATAATACTTTGAGAATAAATTATATTACTTGAATTGAAATCGAATTTTCGATCCTGGTCTGATAAAAAATAGTACTTATACGTACTACGGGAGAAAAGTACTACATCGCAACCCGCGTTCTTATCAGGTTGCAATGTCATACTTTCCTCCCTAGTGGCGTAATATACTATTGTGTTAGAATGTGGATTAGGTACCAATTAGTTAATTCTTTATTTGTTTGAATTTTTAAAAATGAACCTTTTTTTTAAATAGAGGGTTTTACTTTTTAGAGAACGGCATTCCCCTTGCTTCCCCTACGTATGACACTTAATGCTTTGTTGATCTTAAAGATTTGAATAACTTATCATCGTCAAATTTTTTTTTATTTGGTTATTCTTATATACTTTGTCGGCGGTTATTAAATTTCACCATAGACCTTATTATACTCCCTCTTCGTGTGCTTTTTTATGTTTTATAATGTATCACTTATAACAAAAATGCAAATAAATCATAAGCTTTTATTACTAATGTCGTAGGCAGAAAACGACCTGGTTTCAGCTCTCCAAACAGTGCAAGAAAAAGTATGTCGAAGAATTAAGGCTTTGATTAGAGACTACGACACATCTCGTCGGGCATTAAAACTAGATTGTAACCAGTGCGTTTTACCAGTGATGACCTATGGATTAGAGACGTGGCCCTTCACTGCTGGCCGTATGAGGTACCTTAAAATCGCTCAGCGAGCTGTGGAGAGGGCTATGTTCAGGATTTTTCTGCGTAATAAACTTAGGAATGAGGATATCCGCAGTAGAACCAGAGTGATTGACATAGCCCAACGGATTAGAAAGCTAAAGTGGCAATGGGCCAGCTATATGGCTCGAAGAACTGGCAACCGCTGGGGAAGAAAGGTTCTCGAGTGGCAGCTTCGTACCGGTAGGCAAAGTGTAGGGTGACCCTCACTAGATGGAGTGACGACCTGGTAAGACATGCAGAAAGTTGATGGATGCAGGTGGCTCAAGACCGTGCTTTTTGGCATTCCTTGAGCGAGGCCTATGTTCAGCAGTGGACTTGTGAAGGGCTGTAATGATGATGATAAAATTATTTTTCCTGTGCCTAAGCTCTCTCGGACCGTGTCAGATTGCAATTTAATGATTGTGAGAGAATTAAGAGTGCACCTGTGCTTACGCGTAGACTAGCCTATGTTACAGTTATTGTTGTAGCTGTGACAAAAATTCGGTTGGGAGGACACTCAACCCAACAATCAATCCAACTCTACACTCATCTCAACTCGACACACAACCGACGCACTGATGATAATCACGAGGAGTACAAATAACTTTAATTGCTGTTAGGCGAGGAAAGGAACCAATTTCTTTTTGAATGGAGAATGGGCCTACCACGAATTGTGGCGTAACTTAATAAAATGCATGTCGTTTATTCCTTATAGTCTTATAGATTACAGATTCGTGTATTATAAACATCAGTTCCTTATAGATTACAATGAGGATATTAGTTTTACCACATCAAACAGGAATACTGAGAAATTATCAATTAAAATATGAATATCACAATAACCTAAAAAATAGACTAAAAGCGATTATCTAGTCGTTTTCACCGGTATTATAAGTTAAAATAGTGCACTGTTTAATAATTAATAATATAAAATAAAGTTGTAGGTAATTCAGCATTTATAGATACTTTAAGATTGATGGAAAATGTTTTTAGTAGTTCCAGAAAAACATAATGCACAGACAAAAAACGTGTTGTGGAATTCATTTTTATATGTATTAATCTTTGATTCAATTTAATACTCAAAGGTATTATTAAGATCAGTGAGTATACCCATTTAATTAAATAAATATGATTAAAGCCAAGATGACTAAGGAATACCGTGAAATGTGACGACTTTGCCTACCATGGTATCGTTGCCCAAAAAGCAATTTATAAATTAATTTATTTTATATTATTTATTATATATTATTAAATTTCAATCTAATAACTCACTATTTATCAAATTGAAATGAATGCTACACGAACAAAAATACTGGTTATTACCTTACTATAAATCTCTACAAACTTCAACATACAATATTTATTTACAGTATCTAGGTATTTAAAAAGTACCTACTCTGTCTATACTTACAGCTCACAGTATGTATGTTTTTCATAATAAATGAAATAAATTCACAAGTTCACAGTTCAAAAAGGTTCACAGCTATAATGTTATATTATGAGCGACCGCTCAGACCCGTCCAACTACCGGCCTATCGCCATCACCTCCTTGTTCTCCAAAACAATTGAGTCCATTGTAAACTGCCAGCTCATGAGGTACCTTGAGGATCACCAGCTGATTAGTGACCACCAATACGGTTTTCGCCGTGGTCGGTCAGCTGGTGATCTTCTGGTCTACCTAACTCACAGATGGGCGGAGGCAGTAGAGTCCAAGAGGGAGGCATTAGCCGTTAGTTTGGACATTGCGAAGGCCTTCGATCGGGTTTGGCACAAAGCGCTTCTTTCGAAGCTCCCTTCCTATGGGCTTCCCGAGAAATTGTGCGATTGGATCACCAGCTTTCTTGCAGATCGGGGCATCAATGTCGTTGTAGACGGTGCAAGCTCCGATTGCAAGCCTATTAATGCTGGTGTTCCACAAGGCTGCGTGCTATCGCCAACGCTGTTTCTTCTGCATATCAATGATATGTTGCAAACCCGTAACATTCATTGCTATGCAGATGACAGCACTGGTGATGCTCTTTACACCGGCTGAGCCAATATTTCTCGGGAAAACGTCTCCGAGTGCCGGAACAAACTTGTGTCTGAAGTCGAGTCTTTGCTGAACAAAGTCTCGGATTGGGGGCGACAAAATCTAGTCCAGTTTAACCCCCAGAAGACACAAGTTTGCGCGTTAACCGCTAAAAAGAACCCCTTTGTCGTATCTCCTCAGTTTCAAGGCACTCTCCTTGTTGCCTCAGCCAGTATCGGTTGCCTCGGCGTCGACATATCGAGTGATGTGCAGTTTCGTTTGCCTCCTCTTCTATAAAAAAAATTTGTAGTATTTATATATAATTATAGTCTTTGTTCACAGCACAGATCAGAAAGTTAGACCAACATTCCACTGGTAAGATTAGAATTAGAATTTTAGAACTGAAAATGAAATGACAACTTTTTGATATATCCTACAGATGCGTTAATAAATATTTATGTTATTTATAATAATATAAAAAAAAAAAATATATATATATATATATATATATATATATATATATATTGTGTTCAAATTGTCAAGCAAGTACGACCGGTTGTTTTTGCGTCCCCCAACAGCAAAAAAATTAAAAAACTGCGGTATCTTACCCCAGCCAGTTTGGGAATTTTGTCGCTAGTTCTTGAATCAGATGAATCAGTCCGATTCGAGAGATTTTTGGATCGATTCAGTGAAATTGCTCCAAATCGATCTCAAAAATCGGTTATTTTATTACTCAAAAGAATCGATTTTTCGATTAATCGATTTAGATCGATATGCCTATTTAAAATATTACGCTATGTAATGGAACGTCAATGTTGTATATAATATCATATCATAGTAATACCCCTACCCGGAATCAATCGTCAATGAAAAAATACGGGTATTAATATGTTTAGTTCTACGGTAACTGAACCATATTACATGATATTAGCTTTTAGGAAAAGGATAAAAACAAGTTTTCAGTGGTATCTCTTTTTGGTAATAAATATATAATATACAAATACATAATACATGTACCTATATAATAAAATGCTTCGTTACATTAGCCACGAATATCAAAACAATTGTTTTATTTTCAGATTTCATGTTTCCGGTTAGATTTTCATTAAATCTTTAGGCCGTTTACTTAAATAAATTGGTATAATATTTTTATGTGTAAATGTAATACCATTAATTTACGTTCAAATTTCTGGTGGGCCCATAAACGAACCTCTTTTTGTATAATAATATCAATAAATAATACAGCAAGTGGCGCAAGTAATTCACTTGTTGCTCTCTTTTAATTTTTGGTACTAAAGTAGTTGAGTACTAAATTATTTGATATGTATGTTTCGTTGACTGACAGGACGTGATTCAAGGATTTTAAACTGCTCAAGCTCCCTTCTCTACATCTAATTTTATTAAGATGTTTCATCAAGACTATCCAAGGGAACTCTTGTCAGCCATTTGTTCCATCTCTGCACAGGAAGGATGACTCACTGGCCCATGGCGCAAAGGAGAAAGTCGATTTTTTAGGTTCTCTTTTTGAGTCCAACTCGACTCTTGATGACGGGAGTACAAACCGCTGACAACCCCGCAGTGTAAATGCTGCATGTTGGATGTGCGGTTTACACAGCGCTCAGAGTGCAAAGCACTCTTTTTTTTTGCGCCCGAAGCAAATATGGGCAACCCTCCGGAAAGCGGGAGAGGGAGGCGGTGAATGCTCATAGCATACCACGCAGCCGGCTGCGTGGTTATGTGGAGACTTTTACCCACTAAACACCGCCTTTATGGATTGGCTTACCGATCTGACGAGAGATCTCTAAGCCGTATACGGACGCGACCCTCCTTGGCAGAAAGGAGGGCGTAAGCAAAGCACTCCTTTCTCTCACTCGACTCGTTGACGTCCAGGGAGTGGGGGACAAAGCACTCCTCTCCCTGGACGTCAACGAGTCGAGTAGGCCTGATGAAGTCCCTCCTAATGTACTGAAGAAGGGTGCTCCCGAGTTGGCACCGGTTTAAACGCGTTTTTTCCGGTACACCTTAATCGTAATCCTGAACCTATGGAAGGCAGCCTTAGTGCACCCGATCCTTAAAAAGGCGAGCGCTTAAACCCGTCCAACCACAGATTTAGATGGAATCTAAGTCCTCAATTCAAGAGTGACACAAGAATTCGAGCATTTATAGATATAGTCAAGATCATCCACGTACCATCATTTGAACCGTGTGCTCATTCAACACACTTAGTTTTATAAAAACTCAAGTCGGCTAGACTGTAATACTAATAATGACTTTAAAAATGTCTAACAAATTCAGCTTGGTAGGCAGATATTTTAAATTGTCTTTTTTTCTCAGATTCAAGCATCATCATAGGAAGAAAACGGTGAACCGCATGGAAAACTTACTACTATGCTCACATTGTCTCCGTACATTGAAAAATATAGAAAAACACGAAAAGGAAAAAGTAAGTGCTCAAATAAATACGACTAGGTAAGGTTAACTTCCACTAAGATGTCAATCTTCACGAATACAATTTGGCTGGGCAGCGTTCATCAACATCATAATGAAGATGGTATTAAATTGAGTGGTAGATCTTCACTATTGGCTGTATGAGGAAGCTTCAAGTCGTTCAAGCTATGAAGAGGATTATCCTCGGAGTTTCCCTACGTTAATGTAATGTGTAATAAAGATATCCGCAGTAGAAATAGAATAACCGACATAGCCCAACGAATCGCTAACGTGGCAATGGGCCATCTTTATATATATACCTAATGATTTCTTCATAGCTGGAAGTACCGACAACCAATGGGACAGAAAGATTTTTGAGTGGCATCTTCACGCCGTAAAGTCGAGTGTGGAGCTACCGCCACTAGATGAAGTGACGACCTAATAAGTCTGATAGGAAGGTTGATGGATACAGGTAGCTCAAGACAGTTTTGTGACATTCCTTGGAGCAAACCTATATCCAACAATGGACTGGGCTATAATGATGATGACGAGGATGATAACAATGTTATAATTGCGCGAAAAATGGCAGTGTGAGACGTCTGGCATCGCGATCACCGATCCTGCTACGCAAGGCGATTATGGCTCATCTCTTATGGATAAAGACCATGGTCTAGTAGACCGTTTATGGGTTGGGATTTTATCTTGATAGTTTAAACGAGCAATTCTTGTGTAAATACAATAAAATACATTACTCTTTATTGTACACCAATGCAGATTAACATAAAAGTATACCAATATAAAAAGAATAAACAGGTGGTCCCATTCATATCATCATCATACACAAAAGTGTAAACAGACTTTTAGTGATAATTAGATTACAGTTAGAGACCATAAATGAAAGAAAAGAGAGAGAGGTTAAAAAGACAAATGTATTTAAATAAATGGTTTCTCAAAAATGGTTTTAAAGATTTGGATAAAATTTTATATTTTACAGAAAGGTGACGGACGAGCACGCAGTCTACCTGATGGTAAGTGGATGCTTGTGCCTATAAACATCTACATCTAAAATGCAGACACGTTATCAGTCAGAGGAATAAAACTAAATTCCTCGTTTCTAGTAAAAAGGGTCTCGGGTTCTCTATACTCACCGTATGAAACAGCAGCATTATGCTGTTATTTTACGCTGATATTATGTGAGAGCATGGTCCTTCCCCGATTGAGCTGATACATTGGTGCTACAACCATAATATACCTAATGATTAAATTTTTGTCTCATCATTAAAGGTATTAAGAATACCTTTGATGATGAGACAAAAGGAAAATCGATCCCGATGAACAAAAAATCATTTTTTACAGAGTTTAATTAGCTTTATTCACGCTAAAGTTAAAAAAAGTCTTCAATAACAGGTACATGAACTAGGATAAACCTGTATCTCTGGTGTATGTGCTAAAAGATACAATAAAAAAAATATTTTCTGTTTCTTATATAAAATCAATAACATACTAACTAATTAATTTCGGAAAAATATATTATCATTAATTTACTTATGATATTAATTAACTTAAAACAATCAGCAACTTTTCCGTATCATCGTATAACAAATTTTGTAACCATGTTCGAATTACATTTTTACAGTCTGCCATTTTTAATTTATATACATATGTACAAAATTGCATTGACTTGATTATACAGAAAAGGGCCAAGGAATGTAAAAAATCTATGCATGAAAGTATGGCTTATTCTAATGATAGTTTCAATTAGTTTATCTTTGCGTCTTTTATCAGTGACCTCTCTTCTGTAGAGCAATTTTAAGTGCTGTTTTAGTAACGTACTCATAACGAATAACTGGCGCACCGAGAGGACATTATAGGATTTATATAAGAGATCGGACTGGAATAGAATAGGGCGGAATGTTGCGACTTTTAATACAGCTCTTTGAGCGCGTTCCAGTGGTAGCAGTGTAGTTTTAGCTGCTCTTCCCATGAGGTTATACAATAGGTGAGAATTGACTGACATAATGCGAAATATAGGTACTTGCTTTACTACCTTAATATCAGCAAAAGAACGAATCTTTTTAAAAACAAACATTAGTTTACGGACTCTATTGCATAGGTGGTTTATGTGGTTTTTAAATGTAAACGTAAAATCTATAATTATTCCAAGGTACTTGATAGTATTTTTATTAAAAATAACTGGGCTAGTTACATTTATACTCTGCGACTGAGCAACATTGATGTGCGTAAATTTCTGGATTGGTTATATGCTGGGTTGAGCTGCGCATAGAAAAATGAACATATTTGGTTTTGTCCGTATTCAGTGTTAATACGTTTTATTGGAGCCATTTATTAACCCTATCGAAACTTTGCTGTGCATATAAATAAACACTGTCTACTGTATTTGCGAAAAAAAGTAGCACAATATCATCTGCATAAGATTTAGAAGAGTTAAGTTCGAGATTGCAAAGGTTATTTATATAAATCAAAAATAGGGTTGGCCCTAATACATGTTCAGAGCTAACAACCTTATGGATTTTTATGCAATGATATCGATTTTCTAAATAGTTCGCAAAGAGATTACGAATAAATGAAGAACCTTGAATACCTATGCTCTCTAGCATATTTAATAGGATGGGATAGAAACCGTATCAAATGCTTTTGCAAGGTCAAGGAAAATATCAATTGATTGTCATTTTCCTTGACCTTGCAAAACCATTTAAAACAATAAGCTAACAATTTCACACGGACATAGATACATTCTCAGAGTAATTACTAGCATAGAGAGAGCCCTAAAATAAGAACTAAATTCTTATAGCTAAACTCTTTAACATGGTTCTCTTTAACATATTATGACGTTTAACAAAATAAGATATACTGTATAAACTGTGCTAGTATAAACTGGAGTCTATAATAAATCTATAGCTGTATTATTCTCACCTTTATCCTATTACAAGGTATTTGCCGTTTTTCCATTCCATAGACAACTCTATTGACATGCCATTAGCGAAACAAAAACTTTGGCGATAAATTCATTTATAGACTAAATTGAGACTTGGTAAAATTACGGATTTTTATTAATCCGGTCCGTAATACTTATTTACATCAAAGAAAGATTATGAAAGCTTCATCTGATATCTTACAACAAAAACGTAGTCAAACGATAAAGCTTTGTTAAATATAGTCGATGGTTTTATTTTCCGCTAAGCAAGCGGTAAACCTCTGTAACTGAAAGTCAATTGCCGCATATATGAAAGATCATTACTTGAGAACGGCTGGAACGATTCTGGCGAACACGCAAACTTAAAATTGGACCCGGTAAGTGGCGCTGTTGTCGAGAGCTAGAAAACAGTCGTGAGACTAGAGGCGGATGTTAGTCAGCATATAAAATTGGAATTAAAAATGGAATCCAGTACGCTTATGTACGTACCGTGTGCCTGTAAAGAATTAGTATACATACCTCTCTATTAGTTATTAATGTTTGCGAAACGAATATTTGATAATAATCATAATCACTTGATTTAGAAAACAATTTACTTGATTGTTCGAATAATAGTACCAGTTACTCGACTCCACCGAGTCAGTAATTCATTCTTGGGGCGATGCATACGCTTTTACAACAAAATTCCAGCAAATATACAAAATTTGTCATACACAAAGTACAAAATTTTTATTAAACTAAGTTTGTAAATAAATTTATGGATGACTAGCTGCTGCCCGCGACTTCGTACGCGGATGATGTTGCTTATGCCAGCGACAACGAGTTCGTCAAAATCGAAGATCTGAAACATCTGATGTCGAATTCTAAGAGCCCGGGGACGGGAAAACAACGTAATGCGCGAAACGATTCGAGACGTTCCAGAACTTTCACTTTTGTAAGTCAACAGGAAATGCCCATCAAACTAAACAACTTTGCTAACACGTCATTCCTATATATGTTATAATGTCGCTGGGCCTTGGAGTTCCACAACAGGTGTTCCAGATCTTCAAATTTATTCTCACAGCAGAAAATACTCTTCACGTGGAATATTTTTTGCTATGGCACCATTTTTATATCTCTTATACTTTAGCTGGTCTGTTGCGGTTCTGCATCTGATGTTCCATTTTCCAAAATAAATTATAGCCTATATGTTGCCTAGACTTAACACCTATACAACGAAAAACTTTTCATCCCGTATATTTCACCGATCCGGTGCGGATTGCACCGGATCTCAAGGGTACACTGAATTAACAATAACATTGCAAATCACTTTAAAAAAATTATTTATAAACTATACCTGTACCCTTGGCTTTGCCACGTTCTCACGTCACGTCACGCGCCAGTCGTATCTCACGCTCCTGACTGCTCTCAAGTGATCGAGCAGTCTCAGAGCGAATATTCTGAAGATAAGAAATTAAGAATGACGATCCCGGTCGATAGCTAAACGCATTTCTCGTTGTTCCACACTTTCCTGAGATCGAGAAGTAGTAGTGCAGACTCGTTTAAATTCGAGTCGTAATTGGCGCTGCGTGCTAGTATCTGCGGACAAACTTAGTGCGCTTTACCTCCTCCTTTTAAACTTATTACGCTCACGGTTAGCACCTAGCCGTTGTTCACGCTCTGCGTGGGTTCGAGAGAAACTACTGCTACTACTAACTAAGCTACGCATCTTAGAAACCCTTGAGTTTCGAGACAGATTTGATCTTTTTCTAAAAGGTATCGCTAAAATTCCTTCTTAATCCGATACTAACGATATTCAATTTCAAATTCAAAACAATGAAAGTAATCGAATAAGTACGTAAGAATTGCTAGTAAGTAGAAAACTAGAAAAGTAATAATTATTCGCAGGAAAATGAAACACATCAACCAACACAGACAACAAAGTTAACCCCGTTTCTATGAGAGCGGCCCATCGGCACCTATAACATCACTTTTTGGCAACGAAATCATAGCGCGATCTAACTCGACGCCAACGCCATCTAGTTAGAAAACGGAAACTACATATTATTTACCCAAATGAATTAATTAAATCATGAATTAAA